AAGAAATTATCTTTTTACATGATTTTCAACTGCAAAGTATAACAGTTATTGTATAAATCTACATAATGATAAATAACAGTTAGTTTGCATACAATTAGAGTGTCTAAATTTTGATTTGATCGTGATATTTATGGTTATCACTATTAGAAGTTTTGTGCTTAAACATCAAGCTAATGTATTGTATAAAGCAACATTACACAGTGTTGCACACTTTGTTAAAAACGGCTTAACCAAAAATAAATCAGTAGTTTCAAAAGTGAACCGTAACTTCGGAAATTAAAAAAAAATTTTCTACTAACTTAATGTGCCTAATTTTGCCACTTAAAACTGGGGGATCTTAATGCGTCGATACTGTTCTGTTTCTTCCTTAGGAATATTGTTCCTTAAAGATTTAATTGATAAAATTTTTGTCGTACCCACCATCATTTTTGCATTCTATGATGACACAAAAATGGATCCAACCTATGAAGAAAATGCAGTTGATAATGATGCGCAAAAAAAACGTACAAAAATCTCAATGAAATTCAGGATGTCTTATATACCTAACCAGGCTAGTTAATATAGTGAATGTGGATGTAAAATGATGATAAAAAGTTCTACAGTACAACTGCCGCAACGCATGGTGATAACATTGAAGATACTTAGAAACCTGCTTAGATATTTGCTATATAAATGACAAATTTATGTATTCAATGTTTTTTTTTCCTGCAAGATGGGAAAATCAAAAATGTTTCGTGTATAATGAGTTAATAGAAGAAAATATGCAAATGAAAGCATATCTTCATATAAAGCACTATATAAAACATGACTGTATTTTATTTTTTATTTTAATATTACCAATTTTGAAGCCACTTCACTTATTTACTGATAACTATATTGGACAAAATAGGTCACCACATGAAAATATTTCGGAAACTTGGGTCCTGACTTAAAGAGGTTAAAACCACTTAGTACTAATTGAATACCTATCTAAAAACCATGATATCAAATGTTTTTGAGTACCATACATCAAGTAGATTTTGAGAATGTCATCTGAAAAAAAAAAAGACATTCTTCTAAAAGAATTTTGAGGGGGAGTTTAATATTGGATAGAAACTGCAGCTGAAATAATTGTGGTAAAATGGGCAGATACCAAATGAGGTACCTTAACCAGTTTTCTTGAAAGAAGAAAAAGATATTAAATGTGTACAAATCGTTCAAAACACAACAAAAAGTCGTGTTAAAAAGACAGTAAGGAAAAAGAAATAAATTCTTTCATGATACCCACATTAGCAGATGATACAACGTAGGACATTAAACATTTTTTACTATAAAAGGACATCGCCGATATTGTACTACAGGATGACTATAGTTTGTGAAAAATACGATGTTCACTTATGTGTTGTAACCGGAAAAGATACAATTGTTTTCTAAAAGTTTTATGTTAGGTAAGTACTGAAACGGATGTAAACTCTGAAACATAACGTTTATTTCATTTATAACAAAAGAAGTGGAATTGAAACTTATCAATTTGTAAACTTCTCCAAATTTCTTTCAATCGTTAACATGGTAACTAATTTGTGTTGAGACAACTGAAAATAGAAGAGTATACAATATCAAATTATGTTATGGTAAATTTTATGAGACAAAAAGAAAGAAAACGAAAATGACCATTAAAAAAAGATAATAATATTTATTAATTTTTAATTGTAATAATGTCTTAACTCACAAATTCGAATTATTATCTGATTGGATAGTAGGTATAATTAATAGAAGAAAGGGAAAGGAGAATGTGAAACCTTGAGGCACAACATCTAGAAATTTATCACACAACAATTTATTGTTAAAATTATTAACTTTTAAATTTTTTCTTTTCGACACCAATATTTAAAAGTTTTCTTTGGAAATAATTTTAGTATTAAAGTATTCCACACACGGCATGCTTTAGATTAAAATCATTTAAAATTACTACGCAATAAATAATTTTTAATAAATGTATATAATCAATATCATCTAAATAAGATTAAATCGACGTACTTTTTTAATTTTTTTGTTAACTTTAAGTGGATAATAAGTAATGGGTTTCTATTTTAAAACAATCTAATCAGATTATTGCAAAATAATCTTATGTAGAATCAACAATATTAAAAAAAAAATACTGAAAGAAAACTGTCACATTCATCCACCAGCTGATAATTAAAATGATAAAACCCGCACATTTCCCGTTATAAATTCACTTCGGTATGCATTACATAGCAATCAACACCTAGTTAAAACTAGATTTGAATACAATTTTCACTTCATACATATTAAAACGTTCAAATACTGTCATTTATGTACTATAAAATTAGCAGATTAAAAGATAGTTTATACTTAAAATACTACACCTAAGCTTGATAATTTAAGTTTTAATCATAAATATCAGCGTAATAACCGGTCATCGTGGTTATTCACGCGTGAATTCTTATATTAACAACACCTACTTATTTTGCCACCTGCGAAAATTATTTTAATATAAAAAAATTATTAATCGGCTATATCAACTTGAAAGTTAATTCTTAAGAAACGATTTCATTTTGTGATCGAAAAATTATTTTAACGTCATGTAAGAGAAACTCGATTTTCATCTAAGTAACAAACAAAGCTGTATGCGTCTTAATGTTAATGTTACAATTTTTGAATAGAGAAACTTGTTGAATTTAATCATTGAGAAAGCGATCTAAAACGCGGTTGATGGGTCCTTACTGTTTCAAACATTTAAAAAGCAAAGAGTTGATACAACAAGTGATTGCACGTATAATTAATAGTCATTAAGAATAGAGGGTCGCTTAGTGTGGGCATTTATTTTCATATAAGGTAATAGCGTAACGTGCCACTTTTCAATTAAGGTAGAGAGATTATAATAAATGGCATTTAAACGTACCCATTCTGTAATTAACTATTGTATTTCTAGAATAAGGTATTTGTTGGGACGTTAAAATATTCGTCAAGGTTTATTTTATGTTCCATGGTTAAATATTTTATTAATAATTTCTTATAAATAACTTAATACAGTAGCAAAAAAGAAACCACGATGACTCAACGAGGCAACTAAACCGACAATTTCGCAAGGAACAACTAAAAACAGTTACAAAGAGAACAAAATAAGATTGACGTTTAAACATTACTCAAGGTGGTTTTAGATAACTTTTTTAAATGAAATTTCATATTGATGAGTGGTTTTTATAGAAGTTAGAAAAAAGATATGTTGAAATTGCCTTTTTTGAAAACGTGGGATTTGTGCATATTAGGATTATCTATTAAATCTAAACACAGTTTTACAAGGTAGATACGACAAGGTAAAACTCATTAAACTCCAAAATAAGACATCAAGTCCTAATTAAACCTTGTTTACGAAGAAACAGTGTGGTGACGTTGACAAAATTTGGTTACACAGACGGAAGTATACGGTAAAAATTACAAGACTTTCCAAACGGACAACCGTCGTTGTTGGCAGTGGTGGATAGGTTACGAAATAAAGAGGTGTCGTGGCGCAAAAAAAGAACGGACGAGTTGCGAAACCAAAGGCTCACGATCGCCAGGAACTTGCCGATGCCGTTTTAGAAGGTAAAAAGAGCAATTGCTTAAACGTCAATCGCCTCTATATCGGTAAAATGTTCTTCCAAACTGGAATAGTACAAATTTCCTAACATAGAAAATAAAGCTTCTTATTAAATATATTAATAAAATTACAAAACGTTTCGCAGAAATGAGTTCGTCAAATATGAAGATAATTGAGCGGACGTTACGATAACTGGTTGGTTTCTTTAGATGTCCTCGCGACCTTATCGTGCGATTAGACTGAGGTTTTCTGTCGAGGAGAAGGTTTCTATTTTTATTGCATTATTATTTCCTTTTTACTCGGATGCAAGCTGTAAACGCGCGCGGCGTAAATTATTTTCACGTTGTAGAAAGTCGTTTTACCAAACGAGCGTAGGAAGTAAACGTATGGATAAACAACCGGTAGTTTTTTTTGCTAAGCACGTATGAGGATACAAAAATATGGAGAAGTTCAATGTAAGGTTGTTTTCTCAAGAAACCTTTTACAATGTGAGAAAAACAACTAATATAAAGTTCTCCTCGCAAGAAGAGATTAAGGTTAATAGTTGATCAAATTAGAAATTTAAATAGAATTTTAGGAAAAAAGGAGTCAGATGATACATATGAAATCAAAATTTCGAAATATTTTTAATCATAAAAAGGCTAAGAAGCCTGTAGTTTGTGTCGATTAGATTTCGATCATGAATCATGTCGTTCAACTATGGTATCTTTAATCTTTTACCAAAGTCATTAGGGTCAAACTTAGAGAGCTGATTTCGCTCTGTTTTTTAAATAGTTAGGCTCCCAGAGCGGCACAATTGTCACGTATAATTTACAGTTGAACCGTGTTCACTCGGTATGCGAACCGTGTACATACATCACGTCGGCAATTTCTGACCTGCATCGGCGGTTTATCACTCGCTCGGGCCTCTCAAATGTCACAACAGCGCATAAACGGTAAATCCACGGTTGAACTTCTGTTTCTGGCATTAGAACAGAGCGGTCCGGAGCGCACTTTATCTGTCATCGGAGGCAATAAGGTCCAACTAATCCAATTTACTCCGCGACCTAATCGCGTTCATGCAGAAAACAACCTCGATTCCTGTTCGAGTGTGACGGAATAAATGTCTCGACATTTTGAAGGACATCAAACTCCAAAAGACAACTTTTATTTCTGTTGTTCGTTTTAACGAATGACCTCGCAATTTATATTATTTTATCAAGTTCACGGTTAGCGCTAACAAGTAAGGTGCTTGTTGAGAAATAAAAAAAATTTAAATGTTGTATGGTTTTAGAAAGTTTGAACCCGAGTTATTTATTACCATAATACTGAATTATTAAATCTTGTTATTCATTATGAGATTACACAAGAAAGATAAGCAATCGATTTTCTCTTTAATTATCATAGAGTTATTAATTGATGTGATGAAAAATTGACTTACCTATAGCAAACTTCGTTCGGATCTACCCATACGGTAAGTTCCGCTGGGAGCCGTAGGTCGCGGTAGCGTAGGCCGCATTTGGTGGCGGCCTGCTCCAAAGTAATGTCCACTGGGGTCAGACCATTAACCCTAATGCAACGGTAACCCTGCCCCTTGGCCGGCACCTCTGGAAACCAATGCTTCTCGAATCTGCAAACAATAGAGAAAAAGTGAGCCGGATTACAGACGGAAACCGATTCGCACAAAACGGAGCCACAACAGCCGCCGTTGCTGCTGCTGGCCCGTTTTCCATTGTCTAAGAAAGAGTTACAATCAAAGGTCGATGCACAGTTTTCCGAGAACGGCAGCGGACGGACCACTATACAATGAGATCAATGGTCGTGTGCCTTTTCTAGGAGTGTGCATACGTTCAGATACAATCTAAAATAGTGTATCAGATTGAATATCTGATGGGTTGATGTATTGACAAAAGAGCGAGGTCGATATATGATACGACTAACACAGAATATAGTTAAAATGATTTGTGGTTACAAAAATCTATAGCGTTAATTACCAAAAAAAAATTATTTTAGTCATTTTATTGTACTAATCATTGAATTACAAATCATTACAAACAGAGCAGCTGAAAATATGTCTACTTTTACAACAGAAATTCAGAAAGTATCAAGTTAATATCGGAACCTGTGAAAGATAATTCGACTTTTTACAATTCAACTTCATTTCACTTTAATTTCAGAAAGGATCAATTTCAATTTACGTTTGTCAATTGAATTTTAGAAAGTATCATTCTCTAAATCAGAATTCACAATTACTTTTCAGAAAGCGTCAAAAGAGTTTCAGATAAGGTTAATTTTTATTTATATTCCAACATCAAAGCTAAATCAAACTATGTAAAATTAGAAGAGAATTTGTTAGTAACCGCTATATATTTTAAATTGCGTTTACAAATTAAATTGGTTATCTAAGTTACAATTATTACTTTATTTACTTTTAATTTGCCAAACTAAATTTCCAAACGTAGAGAAAATGGGTTGGATTGTTACTATCACGTTTCATTTAATTTTAAATTGCGGTGAATCTAAAAAGTGGATTGAAAACCACAACGAATGTTTAATTTAAGTTCACGAATTGAAATCGGTTGAAAATTTATTCTAGTTAATTTTAGTTTTAATAGTTTTGAAAATTGTGTATAGTTGGGTTGGATTTAAAAATCAATACTTTTACAGCAGCTCAAACAACCGAAACTAATATTCTAACTCTACCCATTTTTCATATTCACTCCAAATAAAACAGCGAAACATGCGTATTTTCACGATTCAACCAGATCAACTTAAAATGTGACTATAACTAGCACCGAAGAGTTTTGTTGCAAAATATTTTACATACATTTTTCTTTTAAAAACTATTTTAAACACTATTCAACGACTGGTTTATACAATAAATTATTACTAACTCATGTTTAACCTATTTTAAAATTAATTATCTATAATAATATTTATTTTGTTATAACAGATGAATTAACAGTAATTCAAATCATATTTAAGGAGGATGTTAGGAAGGATAAGCATATAGGAATCATGTAAGGAGGATCGAAAAACAGCAAACAATATCAAAATTTAATACACATACAACATTGAAAAACATCGTAAAGAATATTAAATAACATAACACGGCTATATTACCAAAGAAAAATTACATTAAAAGATGACAAGACTTCCTTCCACAAATCCAATAGCAAATGTAGAAACATTTGACCCTCAGAATTCGTTCTGTTTATAACAGCTTTGCGGAACGAGTTTTGAAAGAAAAACATGAAAAGGAGATTTCACGGTGTCAGTATTAAAGGTAACATTGCACCAATCAGAACACTTACAGCTTTCTTTTGATGACAAAACGTTGTCTAGAGGTGTGAAGATTAGCAAAATAGAAAACCTAATTATCTCATCCTACTATTGATCTAAGATGCCTCATACCTAGCCTCCTCTAGAAATTTCTAGAGGTTTCTTAACGGTGTGTCCTTGTTCCGGACGTGTGGTCGTTAATCACACGGTCAACCTCCTTCTAGAAGGAAAGGATGCTACTACTATTAACGACACCAGAGATATTCGACTGGTGACAAGGCTCAAATTGGGCTGTAGCGCAAGTATTCATCATGACAGTACTAATTCAAATTTCATCATTCAAACTTTTTGTTCGCGGCTCTCAGTTGTGGGCAATCGTAAAAGTATTCTGCTTTTGTCCTGTTTCTCCAGTATGTTTTCCAAAATTAGAATTATTTTTCGACGTTAGCATGAAACACATGTCATTAGTGTAAACACCAAAAGTAATATTAGTAATTTCTGATTTTCCTTTGTACATACTGCACTTTATTGCCTACATGTACCATATCATATGACAGATTTTTTCAGTATATTGCTTTAATTTGTTTATTAGTTTTATTATCAGCACAATCGAATGCATTCTCGTCATAACAAATAACGATACCACGCTATCAATCAAGCTAGCTATACCCACGGTTGTTGGTTTTTGATTACGATAGCCGCTATTAATCTATTTTATTTATAAACATTCGACAACGTTTGAGATAACTGGCATCGTGGAAGTGGCTCTAAAGCTTTTATAATCTTGTAGTATTTAAAAACTGGAATATATTTTTGAAATTCGTCTGAGAATATCTCATTTAAAAAACAAACAAATTACAATGTTGGTAATAAGTGAGAATACCACATGAATGAGTATCTCTCAGAATACTGTTAAAGATTCCATGCTGCAGAATTTTGATTATTCAATTTTATCAAGCATGCAGATGCGAGAATACTATCATGTCAAAAGCGGTCAGTTGTGGTATGAAATACACTAAGAGCAAGTTTTAAGAATATATAATTAACATGGTAGATAATATTACCATGTTAGATGTAATAACTAACTAATATCTGGCTATAATAACTCATGCAAATAAAGCTTTTGACACAAGCTATTATAAAATAGGTTATATTTACAAACAAGAAGATGGTACTAAACAACTTGGTACTTTTTGTGACGTCATTATAACCACGAGAAAATTGTTATTGTGAAGTTTTTCAATTACGAAGGAAAAGGAATATTATAACGTATTTCCATTCATCAACCTTGTGCTAACACAAACAGCAAATTAAAAATATATATAAAGAAAGTCCACATCAGCGTTACATTTCCAATTAATATTGCTTTTTTCGCATATCCACACTTTATACGCTAATATAAAATGTTTTCAAGTCTTCAAGTTTAATAAATTTCTGATTACATTTGTGATTGGATATCTATCTTTCATATTAAATGCAAATTTATTTGAAACAGCAAATAAAGCAATTAATATTATTTTCAACGAAAAAAAAATCTACTTTTAGATGATTTATGAAAGTTATTAAAAAGCATACTTACACCTTCATAAATATAAACTTTCTTCGTATGTCACAACAATCATTTACAATTTACACCGTAAAGGTGCATTATAACAATTACCTTTACACGTAATCAATTCGTTTCTGTATGACAGTAATTGCCAATAAATGGGTTTTATGCACAGTCGTAAAAGGTAAGCCGACAAACGGTTAATTTAAGCGTTAGCAAGAATTCTCTTCACTATAAATGTTGCTGATAAAGACTTGGTATTGTGGTATCTATGTATCTAGAGTACCTAGTACTGTGGTTCGACATTGATACTCGCGTCACATGCCGTTTTGGGCACGCGTTTATTAGATTTGCACATAATGGTCGAAAGTAATAAACCTACTTTGGCATAATAGTATAGAACCTATTTTTTTTAACGTACGATTGTTTACAGACGTCTCTATTTGCTGCGATAAGACCGACCGAAGTACGGTACTTAAAACGTTAAAACTACTGTACAAAGCACCCGAGATAAACGTAGATGTAGCATTGTGGGTTTTTATTACATGACAAAATCGTTTGTAATAATAATCGGTTACAGTTGATACCCGATTTGATGTAGATTTTTTAGTCGACACCAATCGCAACGATTACACTAACATTATTAGCATGCAATCAACGGGTTGCGTTGGATTATTGACTGACACACTTTCTTCCAAATGAAATCATTCTATGATCATAGTTGGGGTTTCACTTATTTACACTTTTTTTTTCTATTCAATAGTCAATTGAAAGGTTCGTATACAGTAACACGTAACGAAATTAACACAAATGGTTAAAACTGGATTTTTCATGCTATAAAACTTAAAAGAAAAAAGTTTAGGCCAACCTAATAAAGCTTTCTCTTTAAGCAAAAACAAGTAGTAATTTTAATAACACATATTATAAACAACGTTTCGCTATAAGCTTAAGGCGTTTTAATTTAATCCAATTATCAAGGATATCACCTCTTACAAAACTGTTTCTAATAAACTGTACCACTTTAAGTAAGTTTATAAACAAAAAAATAAAAACTAGTACAAAATAACTGGCAGTTTTTCTATTAGCACGTGGAAAGTTTTTAAAACAAATAATACTAAAATAATACTTAATTATAACCAACGTTTATCGACTCAAAGCAAGCATAACAAAACCATTAAACATAACTAAAAAGCAATAATAAAAAGTTTAAACTTTTCGTCTGAAAGCGCGTTAAAATCTTATTGTTAATAGAGAAAGTAATCATTCCAGTTAGTCTAAATGTCATCTCCTTGGGCTGCAAACAGAATTGGTTCTGACATTTTGCGGTTGATTAATGTCAGAACGGATGTAACACGTGGATACTTTAATTATTATTATGTTAATATACAGTTAACGCACGTGTCCCAAACGATTTGAAAAAAAAACAACACAACCAAGTGATAATACATATCGCCTGGTTGTTCTTGCCTTTTGCAGTCATAAAAAAAGTATTGCGTTCAAGGCTAATTCACTCGTTGGAGCTCGTAATATTCAATCAAACACTCGCTGTTCCAGACGTTGTCACGTCGTTTATAATTTGCGTGTACATGATGTAGATTGTAACATGAAATGACGATAGAAGAAATATTACAAAATATTTACGCAAAACCCGAATTAGAGTGCCCACATACTTATCACCGCAATGACCATAAATAAAATTGTTTTTGTTAAGAAACATAAAAGTTGATTTTATAAAGATTAAAATTACACAAACATGTTTTTAAAAAGTGAAAACAAACAATATTTTTGTATAGAAATGG